CTGATCATTTATGTATACATTTGTCTATATCTATCTCGATTCGTTTTGGCTGTTACAAACAACCGTTATGTGAACAAAATTAATATACCCTTGTGCACAAGTGCGCTCGGGTATAAAAATATGCATTCAAAAATATTTGCAAACCACTTACGTTATCCACCGAGGTGATATTGAAGAATCGATCCACCANTCAAAAATATTTCCAAACCACTTACGTTATCCACCGAGGTGATATTGAAGAATCGATCCACCATTCGCGCATGTGAAAATTGAAAACCGACTACACAAGCGGGTGCCTCCTTACCACCGTCACGTGGGAATATCGCATGTGAAGCAGTTATCATCAGTTCACTATCCTCCACCGGATCGCTGGCATGTTTGACCATATAAACAAAGCTCTCGGTGCGTTCCTGATGATGCTGCAAAATGGCGCTTTTGTACCAGGTCTCATCAATCGCCGTGGTATGATAGTCGCCAAACTCGCGATCATTTTCCACTTCCACTTCGCCGTAGATGAACTGCCAACGCGTTAAGCCACTCATAGTGGCGACGAAGCGTAAAGTAGCACCAAAACTTTGAATCAAATTGCGTTCTTCCTCGTTGGCGAATTTCCACTGGCCGTAACTGGAGTTTGTAACTTTCGCATCGAAGATGAGCAGATGCACGAGTTCCTTGTTGCAATAGTAGGCATCTTCGTTGAGTGTTATTCGACCACAATTTACTGAAATATGCGAAGTGTGCGAAGAAATACTTTGTAGTTAAGAGTTATTTCATTTATCTGTCCACTCACTTTCTTCATTGTCATCCCGATCAGATTCGTCCTCCTCGTACTGCTCGGACCATTTCCAATCGTCTTGCATCATTTTGGCAAGAAAGTGACGCAATTCCTCTTCCGGTGTTTTGAACTCGTGCCCCTCCAGGTAGTGATACTTACAAAAAACCCTAATCAGAGAAAGTTTTACCTTACAACTTACATATGAATACATTTTTTTATACTCAACTTACCAACTAGGATGCACCTTCCAGTTGTCCCCCGCAAAGTAGTCCGAAATATTAACTTTCATATGCTTGTTCTTCAACACTTCCTCGCCTACCTTAATCCATGTCTTACCATACTCACTCGGCAGTACGATGCCCAGCGAAAATGGTGTGTTCGGCAGCGGTGCAAAGAAGTAATCCTGCTTCTCTTCAGACACTCGACGCATATTGTCATAATGAAACTTGACGCTTATGTCCTTAAATTCACCGGATTGGTATTGCACCATAGCGTTACGCAGTAGAAGTATAGATTCACCCGCCTGACGTGGCTCCAAGTCTTCGTATAGATGTTCCACTTCGGTGAAATCTATGCTGTTGTAATTTGGATTGAACTTGCCGGTTTTCTAGAGAATATTGGTTAATAAGTGAGATTTTCTTTATCGGAAGACGAGGATTTAACTTACCGAAATCGGACGTAAGTCGGGATGGAGTAGCATGTAACCATTGTTGGAGACCACAAATGAATAACCATTTACGCCCAACTGTAATGAACAGAATAATTACCGCGTTAATAGCGTCGGTCCCTTGCCAGAACAATAACTCGAACACTTTTTCCAAGAAAATCCCGTATAATAACGGATAATCCTTGTATTTAGCAGGGATATATCTAACTTTCAGTACAAGCTTCATTTCAACTACGACGCGGTGTCTGTCTAAAAGTATCCGCTAAAGAAAAGGAACTTTAAAACTTGTCCAAGGTTTAGCGAGTTATTCGGATATAAGGATTGTAGCATTGATATGTTTTTGAGTCTTCCTTCACATCCTTGCCTCGGGCTGGGGTCTGATGGGATAATCGTTAAAAAGATTACGATACCCAACAACGGCTCAGACGAATAGCTTCAATATTCACAATCTTGTGTGTGAGGTACCAGAATAGGCAGATCGTAGAGTATGGAGCTTTTTATGATCCTATAACGGATCTCAATAGTAAGATCAAATTCGACTTTGGAGGGCGCCTTATTCTGAGCAAGCACCACTGTTATATTTACTCAGTATCAGNAGTACTAGTTATAGGGCTCGGAGTTCAGTGAAGTGTTAGGAATGTTAAACCATAAGTAGATGGAATGGATGGAAAGCCTGCCCATGCTATCAAGAGAAGGCCAATTCTGATATCCGCGAATTGTCAAAGTTAGATATAAAGCACAGTCCCAGATCCTAAGATGGTGGTTTTTCACAGCACAGCCATGACAGCGACAAGTTCCAAAGTTCCAAAACAGAGTAGAGAAAGCATCCCAGAATTTGATGTCGAAACGGAGAAAGTTCTGAACTATGTAGGACTATCAGGGTGGGCTACCCAAAGCACGGTCAGAATAGGCAGATCGTAGAGTATGGAGCTTTTTATGATCCTATAACGGATCTCAATAGTAAGATCAAATTCGACTTTGGAGCAAATATTTTTTACAAGATCTGTCCAGGGCGCCTTATTCTGAGCAAGCACCACTGTTATATTTACTCAGTATCAGTTCATAGTTCTCTACCGACATTTATCTGCAGTGCTACTTACTTGCGTTTCTTGGGCTTTTTAAGTATTGAGAGCTTATTGGGCTTAAGAAAAGACTTTGAAAAGGATATTTCAGGTTTCCTATTACCTTATAAGGCAGCGTCAATTTGTCGATATCCTCCACCGGCACATCCGTGCCTGCTACTCCCAGCAAACGTGCGCGCCTCGTGGAGTTTTCTTCACGATAAGAACGATCAAAGGCTGGCACGCCCACAGCGATCATAAGACGTGTGCCAGTATCGTTTTCGCGCGGTTCGTACTGCAATTAAAAATCAACACANGCGATAAGAACGATCAAAGGCCGGCACGCCCACAGCGATCATAAGACGTGTGCCAGTATCGTTTTCGCGCGGTTCGTACTGCAATTAAAAATCAATACAATTAGAGATCAACTTGCATGCGCTTTCTAACGCCCTCCTACCGTTCGATCCGTAAACGAGTGCGTCCATGTCGGTGGGTGTNACGATAAGAACGATCAAAGGCTGGCACGCCCACAGCGATCATAAGACGTGTGCCAGTATCGTTTTCGCGCGGTTCGTACTGCAATTAAAAATCAACACAATTAGAGATCAAGTTGCATGCGCTTTCTAAAGCCCTCCTACCGTTCGATCCGTAAACGAGTGCGTCCATGTCGGTGGGTGTTCCTCATTTTGCAGCACCAGCGGCGTAGCTATCACATCTACATACTTCAGCACCTCCTCGTGCACCTCATCCAGTGTTTGTACATGCGAATAGTAGCCGCGATTCAGGCATGCCATCCATTGTATCTCACGCACTTTGGTCACCTCCTTCCCCAGCAGATAGGTGAAGATGCGTATATTCATATTCATTGTGCCATTCTCGCCATCGCCCCAGTTGTATTTTTCAAAAATTTCGGTGGTATTGCCAGCAACGCCATCGGTGACGACCATGATGGCTTGATTGCAGGTGGAGGTTTCGTTGCAGCGGCGTTGAATGTAGTACTACGTTTGCCAGAGTTAAATTAGAAATTATTTTTGCTTGCACACGACTTCACCGCGCTTACCTTTTTCAACAGTTGAAAAGCTTTCTCATACGCCAGTGATAGATTCGCATAACCCTCCGGTTCTATGTCCTCAATAGCATCATTAAATACGTTAATATTCTCTGGCGTCGCTTGTACCAGGGCATCTTTGAAGCACGGAATTATGTCATCGACGGTTGCTGAGTAGTTGAAAATCGTAAAAAAATCATTATTCGAGAAAGTATCCAAAATGCTGCGTATCGTAAATTTGGCAACATGATTGCGGAAACCGGTCATCGAGCCAGAATTGTCCAATAGTATGACAATATCCTTGGAGCAGGTGGCAGTTTCAATATACCACGAACGTTTGCGGCAATCATAGGTGTCGGCATTTTCACGATTGCCAATCTTCTGCCATTGTAGGCCGGGGTAGTGCCGCAATATGCCAGTATCGGAGCCGAAATATTGCCACGACAACGCTGGATCCGATTGATAGTTTTGCCTGAAGACCTCATCCAGCGTTTCAGACCACATAATTGTTTTGAGCACATCGCGGCCTGCAGGTAGAGTGGAAAATTAAAAATGAGTTCTTCAATTGAAAGCTTAAGCTCCAAATGCAACTTACTGCCATCAAATATATTCGAGGGTACATGGACGGAACTATGCTCTGTATCCACAGATATATTATAAAAGTGCGTATCTGGATTCAGTGTGAAATTCAAGTACCACCGATCGTACATTTCCATACTTTCTAGCAAATCTTCTGCTCGCTTGCCTTCAAACATCGAAAACTTGCTGGAGTAGTATTGAAAGGTCTGCTCCGCTGCTGTGTAATTAAATTCGAATTCTTCGTTGACCGCTTCGGCTTTCTGTTGAATACAACGTACAGCGTCCATTTTACGTGACAACATACGCCCCACGTTCGCTGTGATGGACTTAATGAGTTCGGTGCCATTTTTTAACTCGACGCGGGCATTGTATTCCTTGTATTTCTGTAGGAAAAAATATTTCGAAATGACAAAGAGGCAATTGAGGTCTGCTTTTGTTACTCAGTGTTGTTTCGTACTTACAGCCTTAATCTCCTGAGATTTGGTCATACGCTGCGCTAATTCCCACAACTCATCACCAAACTGCATTGCCCATTTTCCGACGCTAGAAAAAGGATTGTGTTAAATGAGTTAAGTAGTATGTTAAAGAACATTTATGAAAAGTAACAGTAATTATAACATGGTCACAATTGTTATTGGGGGCTAGCTAATTACCTTAATTTGATATCTTGAAACTGAATAAGACATACATACATACATATGTATATCTGGGTTTAAAAGTCAAGTTCACTAATAAATGTAATGATCAAATCAAAAACTAAGCG